GCTAAAATTGTTTTTCTTAAATTATGATGTTTAACGAATATCTAGAACGAGGATTAACTTCATTTTGGATAACATAAAAGATAGAATTTTTTTGATCAAAAAAAATATATATAGAGAATTTTCAGTTTTTTACTTCAATTATGATATTAACAAATGAATTATAATCAAAATGTAACAAAACCTGTTTTTAGCGAATGTCGTTAATCGTCGCATATATTTTTAACAGAAAAAAACGAACAATCATATATACATTTTATAAATTGCTAAGTGAAAAGATCAATTTTAAATTGTTTCCAGGTTGGTAAATCAGAAAAAGTGGATGGAAGTGATTACGCCTTAGAAAGTATTCACAACATGAAAGACGCATTTCCAGAGTTATGGTCAGAATCCAACAACAACAAGAAGAAAACAGAAAGCATTGGTTATGCTACACAGATCTCAATTGAAACTTTTGTTCAAGCATAGATTAACATGTTTGTGAAGTTATTTCCATGTATAATTCATGTTTTTTTTTCGAGAAACAAATAATTCATGTTTTTATAAAATAAAATATCCATATATATACACAAATTATTGTGGATGCAACGATTGATATATAAATATGGTGTTTATGTATTTGTGTTTTATAGGTGGATTTGATTACATATGGTATGTTCATTTGTACATATCAGATATATAGAAAAATATTATTATGGCACTGCATGTATTTCACAACATTATGATCTGTACCGTCATTGGTATAACCTTCCAGTAAAAAAGTAAAAAAATATGTTACAAGATGTGGTATTACTGCTTTTTATTATATTACAATCTCTTATCACTATTTCATAATGTTTCTAATTATATTATCATCTTTTACCGTTATCTTGTACCATCAAATTTTTTTTTTTTTAATGTTACAGTATATTTTATTTTCTTAACTTGAATCAGAGGTTACATAGTGCTATGTTATCTAACATACAACTACACCAATGCATTATGAGAAATTTCAAAAAATACCACTTTTTAAGTGCCACTTTACAAAAATGCTACACTTTTGAAATCTTTATAAAAATACCATTTTTTCAAAATTATTTTTTCTTTATATTATTTATGTTTGGGTTAATTATGTTCTATTAGGGTTTAGTTTTGAGTGTTAAGGGAGTTTTAGGTGTCAAAACATTTTTTAGGGTTTAGAATTTTAAGATATAGGCTTTACAAATCTATAATTAGTGGTATTTTTGTAAATGGACACTCCTAAGTGGCATTCTTGCAAATGTGCACACAAAAAGTGACATTTTTTTAATTACCCCATTTAGCGAAACAATATAACTGAATAGTTGAAATTACATAATACTTCATTTTACAAGTAAATTTTACACATTAATAAATTTAAAAATATGTTTTTTTGTTTATTTTTCTTTTCAATGTGACATGAGTGTCTTGTTAGGCGATCATTTTTCTATGAATGTTAAAACAGTGGGATGAGCCCTGGGCTAATCGCCTCATCTATATTCGTGAGGAGAAGTTTGGCTGAACTCTAATAAGTTTTTAGAAAGTTACGTTTTTGTTCGTAAAAAATCATTGGTTGCAATCCATTCATACCTCTCCAACATCACGGGATGACATCTTGTTTAGTTGTGCCTAATGCCATGATTGCCTATCTGTAGACACCTCCAACAAAGATATATTGCATGTCGATAGATTTCAACAAAAAATTTAAGCATAGCGTTACCTAAGTTGTGATATAGTCGGCCAATCTAAAAGCATAAGAAAATATCAAATAGGGCTAGTTACAAAAATGCTATTTTTTGTGTGCACATTTGCAAAAATGCCATTTAGAGGTGTCCATTTACAAAAATGCCACTAATTATAGATTTATAAAACCTATATCTTAAAATTCTATACCCTAAAAAATGTTTTGACACCTAAAATCTCCTAAACACTCAAAACTTAACCCTAATAGAACATAATTAACCCAAACATAAATAATATAAAGAAAAAATAATTTTGAAAAAATGGCATTTTTGTAAAAATTTCAAAAATATGACATTTTTGTAAAATGACATTTTAAAAGTGACATTTTTTAAAATTTCTCAAATATATATCAAAGTAGAAATGCAACAAAGATAAATAAGAACTTCATGATGAGATGAGAAGTCGAATACTCCTCACAGTCTCTAAGAACTCCATCATCCATAGCCGATCCGGGGTGAGCATCACTATGGACTACTCAATATAAGAAATTTGTACACATTATTTTTTTGGTTATAAGACAATTAGTTAAAAAAACATAGAGTTCAAGAAATCCTATAACAACAACATAATTATTTCACATCATCTATATATTAAAGAAAAAACATTCTAAGCAACTTTTGTTTAGGTATCACTCCCTCAATTTTTCTCAGTTTTTTTTAAATAATAAATCCTATAAAATTTACTTCTAGTATCATATAATCCAAACACCTCCTCCTCCTACAATCTCTATAGCAAAATATACTTATTTTTAATTTATTTCAGTATCAAATACTTGCCTAATTTGGTTATTCCTATACAAATTACCAAACATCATTTAAAAAAAATAATTATTTTTTATTTTTGCAACAGCTTTATTATATTCGATCAATATTTTTTTCAAATTAATTCATATAACATTTACAATTCAATTCTAAATATGGTTTACACCTAAAAAAAAATTCACATTAAAATTCACAAATATCATAATTACAATATATATGTAGTAAAATTTATTTACATATTTAAATATAAATTACTTAGGGAAAATTGTAAAAATGCCATTTTTATATGCACATTTACAAAAATGCCACTTAGAGGTGTTCATTTGCAAAAATGCCACTAATTATAGATTTTTAAACCCTATATCTTAAAATTCTAAACACTAAAAATTGTTTTGACCTCTAAGCCCCCTAAACCCTCATAACTAAACCCTAATAGAACATAATTAATGCAAACATAAATAATATAAAAAAATAATAATTTTGAAAAAGTGGTATTTTGTAAAAATTTCAAAAGTGTGACATTTTTGTAAAGTAGCAATTGAAAAGTAGCATTTTTTTAAATTTCTCAATTACTTATACACCTTAATTTACATTAATGTTTAACCATCGTTTATGTTGTAATTATGTTTCTTTCCGAAGATCATATTTTCGTACAAAAATTGAATTATAACATCATCCTTATAATTCTATGTAATGGAAATGTTATTCTACTTCTTATAATTTTTAGTTTTGAACATTTTTCAATAATTTTTGA